AAGACTCAATTTCTGTTAAAAGTCAGATTTTATTTGCTTCTGTTCTGATGCAGAGATACGTCTGATCACCAGAGCTGAGATTGACGCTATTAAGTAAACAGTTTTTCTTTCTCAATGCTCTGAGGTAGGGTTCCTCAATTTAGAAGTTTTGGGCAGAAATCCTGTAAGCAAATACAGTATGTCATGGTATGAGTAACATTACACTTAAGTCTCCTTACTTGCCTCCACTCTAACTTCTTCCTTACCAGCAGGCAGAGCACCATCAGAGGTTCTTGCAGGCAATGTGTTATGACTACAGCTTTCAGACCACTCTTTTTAGGTTTCTCACATTTGCAGGAAAATAGGAAGACTGGGATGTGAAAGACAAATCATTACTGGATCATAACACTTTGATGGGCTTAATGGAGAACGCAACAGGAGACAAGATGCAATAATGTCTCTGTGGTCTCGAAAAGGCTGTCACTGTCAGGTGGAAAAGCACAGGAAACACGTTTGCTGTGTTGGTAGCTGTACTGGTGCTTCTCAGCATAGGAAAACTTACTCTACCACTGCAAAATTTTCAGACTTCGCTTAAAGAAAAACGCAACCACTTTTTAAAGATACATTAATTATTCAACCAATTTATTCCCCTTTGGAAAATTAGGGAGTTCCCCAAAAGTTGGGATAGAGAGTTACTTTTTGCCATACCTGCAGTTCACTGTGACAGGAAAAACTGCCATGTTCCTTCCAAACAGTAATTTCTTACTGACTTCTATAATGAGCACAGCAACTACTCAACAAAACTCAGCACACAGTTTCCAGTACTCTGAGCTATAATAAACTTCTCAAAGACATCATGAATGCTGAAAACCTTTGAGGAGCTGCACTACACAATGTTTTCATTCTAAAAAGATACATTTGCTTAGACAAAACCTACACTAATTTCTTAACTGTTCCAGATAATCTACAGGCCCAGAATTAAACACTTTCATTCAAAACTTTTTAGAAAAAATAGGACTTTAAAAAATCTACAATTTATGAAGTTATTCAAGATGACAGGTACTATGTGTATTCACAATATCCTTCTCTTCATTATGCAGAATAACTCAAGAATTGCATCTTGTATATGTTATTAAAATCCAATATATATATTGATCTTTCTTCCACACGCCTCCTCCCCCATCAGACTCTGCTCATTTTGAATAGAGGTAACAAAACAGAAAAGAGGTAGTTGCGGGAATCATTTTGTGAATGAAATTATTTGACTATTTCTGGTTAATTAAGCACAGGAATCACTGGTTTGGCCTACAAAAACAGGTGCAAAAATGGTTAAGACTAGGCTGAAATTTCATCTATTATTTCCTGCACATAAAAACCCCCAACAATTAAAAGGAAAGAATAAAAAATCAGCTTTGAATATTAAAAATAAAAAGGACAATACTTCATGGAAACAATTAGTACACCTTCAGACAGAGAAGATTAAGGTACTGGAAGGAATTTACTGAAACATAAAAGTTAATCACATGGTAAACAGAAAAAGAGATGCTTAATTGAAGTTATCCTCATCCTGCTTCCTTCTACCCTGTGTAATACATGTGCAAAAAAGATGCTGAGTTGAAGATCAGCCACTACATTATATACATACTTATATACAGAGCTGTTCTCATTCAAGTAGCTTTGCTTGTTTTAACAGTGTGGGGATAAAGAAAGAGAAGAGGGAGTAATTGATTTTTATATAATTATTACAAGAAATGGCACCTTCAGATCACACCTGTTTTCCCAGACAAAAAGCAAGATGCAACAAATATACATGATCAAAACACTACTTTCAAAACACAAGAGAATGGTAGCGACAGTTTGATGTGGCTATACTCCAATTACTTTGACAGTAGTTGGAAAATATAAACCTGTTCAGTTAAGCCAGTTTCTCTTTGTAATACCCACCATCCTTTAGAAAGTAATCAATGTTACACAGTTTAAAACCCAAAGGCACCTTAAGGAATGCACTAATCACTGGTCACTCTGTAGACAGTGGTAATTAAGTGAATCAAGATTTTCCCCAGAGTTTTGGAATCAGCTCCTTACTCAGCTGCTTCATTGTCAACAGCTGGCATGAATTACTGGGAACATTTGGCTAACTGGATAATAAGGAGGGCAGCCTGTGGTTGGTCCAAATTCTACTGCACTGAACTACTTCCATAAAAAAAATAAGTATCTCATGAGATCCTCCTTTTCTTTTTTTAAAGCGGTAACAATACTACAAAGATCAGGGGTTCTGTTCTGTTCCCGAATTATATGCAAACAATCTAACTGTACAACTCTCAGATGTTGCATGGGCTAGTGTAGCTGAAGCTACATGTAATTTAATAATGTCTGTTAGCAAGACAGACTCATCCTCACCCATATCACATCTCTCTTGGCTGTTGTGGTAAAGGTTTGCTACTCTGAATATATTTTTCCACTTGCTAGCAGTTTATCAGCACAGATCACAGAATCAAAACTCCCAAATTCTGCTCTCATCCAGCTTACTGAAGATAAAATATTTGTGAGACCAAGCTTTCTCCAAACCACAGCTTTGTTAAAGAGACAGTGTCAAACTGTATTATTAGACATCCAGTAAACCAAATGCCACCTCCTGTCGCTTTGTTACATTATTTGCTCTGTGCCCATTCAGCTATCAAATTCTTTCCAGAAATCCATGTAGGAACCCAGTTCTAGTGGAGCAACATGCTCAAATGTGGTTTTGTGCATGTCCTCTATTGGGTCCAAGTTCCAGAGGCACAGGAACCTTTGCCACAGGAAACTGTGTTTACTAGGTGGTCCTTCTCCTTTTCCTTCCAACAGGTAACAGGGAATGTAAAGGAAACAAACAGCTTATCAGATTACAGTCCCCAGATAAATGCTCAAATCAAGAACCAGTCTGATTTAAAGCAATTACTCTGTTATTGCCAGGCATTCACAAAACCCCCAAGTATTTAGGTAAACTTTACACACATGCTACATAGTCAGGCCATTCAGTTACAGCTGTCCTTGAAAAATACTGGATCATCCACTGCCTTTCTTTCAAAAAATAAACATTTTAAGTGCTGGCTTTTTTCTCCTCTTTGATCGAAACAGCACTGCAACTTTTTGAGTCAGCAGAGGATTAGTCCAATGTAATATCATGGCTAAAACTAAAACCAAACAAAAAAGCTAAATCAATTTTAATCATTATTATTTTTTAATCTTTGCTGAGACTATTCTCAGACATCTCATGAATTCTAACAAGCAATGTGTTAGTATCAACATCTGTTAGCTTAGTGGTATGGCAACCCACACTTTTGCCATCAGCTACCAAACAGATGTTGCTGAAAGGCTTTTAAATTTAGAAGGGCTGGTTTCATAACACTGTCTAATGTATTTCAGTAATTCACATTTGTATCATATTGTACTTGATTGGGATAACAAGAAACACAGAACACTGCTAGAATTCACATATCATCAACTGTTACAGTGAGAGCCATCACTTGTGCATCATTCTTTCACAGAGGAAGCAATCTGAGCAAAGGTCAAGCCAGCAGAATAAATGTGGCTACTTTCTGGATTTCAATCATCTCAGTCATAAGTAAGTCACCTTTTTGAAAGGTAGTTAATCCTTGCTGTAGGGGCTAGAAATTAATAGCAGGCAATTGTAGTAGGTGAAATTTATAAATAGCTCGCAGATTCTTCCAGCCTTTTATTCCTACACACTGGTATTTCAGAAGAGCTGGTGGAAGAAAACCTAAATATAATAGATAGTTTAGTACTTTCATCAGAAATTTCCCTCCAATCCACACAGATGACTCTACATCTCAGAGTAAACTAAACAGTATCACAATGACTGACTGTGCTTTTGGAATCACTGACAGCAAATGCTCAGTTACAGGGCTGAAAATATTCTGCCACTATTCTCAAAGGTTACGCAGTAAAAAAGGGAAAATGAAAAGTTTTGTTAGGACACCTCACAATTGCTGTGCTACAGGAAAAAGTGGACACCAGCAGCACAAGAGGAAAGGCTCACATGAGAGAATCTGAACTCCCCTCCAGTTCTTATCCTACCACAGACACTATTACCTCCATCAATAAACTGTTAGCATTGTTCTGTGAGGAGGCAACGGAAGATTTTGGTAGAAGATTCTGCTAACAGTCTATAGGAAAGGAAAAGCAAGAAGGCTGCATCTTAAGAATGAAGGCAGTTTGTATTCTTTAAAGGAGATAAAATGAGACAAAAGCAGGAAATGCTGTCCTTCCTTTATCCTGAGAACTTCTTAATGAAAAGTCAAGTATAGCCATAAATCAAGATAAGGAAGAGGCGACCAAAGAGATGACCTTCATTGAGAGGAAACAAGTATGCATCAGATAGCAGTTTTATACTAATGTAGTCCTCCTCTGTCTATGTGACAGAAAGGAGAACACAGTTTCATGTGAGCATTTCAAAAAAACACAAATTAAAATCAAGCACTTGATACAGAAGAAAAATCACACATACAAGAGTCTATGTAGTCAGCCAAAGTAAAACTTGCTTCCAAAATTTGGGGGGGAAGTGCATTGGAATTTTATTCATCACCACTCCTGTTTGGCACCTGGCTTATGAGATACATCTCCTGGGGGCAGCCACCCCACCAGTTTGATCCTGATAAGCTGTAGGACTCATTACATGCACTTTAAATTTCTGGTTTAGAGTTGGTTGCTTTTCTGAAAGAGAACAATCCATTTTTGGTGATGCTTAACATCACAGTTACAAAATTAATTTATAATATTCCCTTGTGAGTTATGCTTATGACGTAATTTTGGGGAGGAAAATTCAGAGTCCACGGAATTACATCTGAAGTAGATAAAATCAACTACCCAAAATTAAATGAAAGTATAAATACTTCTCAAACAAGCCTTATATAATTACCTTTTACTGGCTTTCTCAACCAACAGCTGTTCATTTCTATTTCTTGGACTAGCTTTAAAACCTGCAATATGTTCAGGAAAAATTCAGGAAAAAACAAATTTACCAGCTCTCGAGGTAGAAAGGCCTCCTCCTGACGAGCCACAATCAGACAAACCGTTTCCCCTTGCTTTGTGCTCCTCAGCATAGCTACGAGCTCTTCCTGGGTCCTGCCAGTGATGTCCCGTCCATTGACCTACCAGACCGAAAAGAAGAGAGGATCTGTGAGTTCACCTTTTTTTTTTTTTTTTTTTCATTTTCCCCTCACCTAACACAGGTGTCATTCAGTGATTGAGAGCAAAGAATTAGCAACAACTTCCACACTGTTTCCCCCTCTGGCTCTGCACACACACTGAATTTCTTTTCGCCTCATTTTCACCATCTCTTCCAGCAGGTCTGTAATACCCACCTTGCAGGGGTGGTTTGTGAGGCTTAATTACTAACACTTTGAAGCTAAAAAGTACAGAAGCAAGACCTAAGTATTAATAGAATTCTTTGCCTTAAGGGCTTTTTCAGATTTTTTGTAGGTGGAAACAACCCATCAGTTACTATGACTGTAACTTACAAGATACCTGAAACTTTTAAACCAGACTGATCTGATCAATACTGCCTTAAAATGAGCACTTAACCACCTCACTATTAACTAGAGATTTTCTGGATATGACTCAAGAGGAAAGACATGTTTTGTTTCTAAACGGATACATTTATCTGATTTAAGAACCAATCAAGGTGTTATCAGATTCTCCTTCGTCAAACTACCCATGGACCCATGTGAAAAGCAGTTTTCCACATTGCAGTGTGAAATACTTGTTGACAAACAGTAAAAAAGCCAGTAGAAATGACTTTTAAAAAAAAGACAAAAACAGGATCAAGAATTTCAATTCAATACATCAGTAGCACATGTAAAGAAACAAAATATTGATGCCAAAATCAGTGATCAATACTCAGTTCAAATACAATGGAAGTTTATTCCTAACCTCCAGGATTCTGTCTCCTGACTGCAAACGACCATCTTTTACTGCTGCACCTTTTGGCAAAATGTTCTTCACAAAAATTGGACCAGGACCATGAAGTGAAGAGTCTCTGGTAACCACAGTGAAACCAAGTCCTTCTGGACCTAGAAAGTCAGATAAAGAACTCCCAACATAAAATTCAACAACCAAATGATGATCATTAAAAGCAAATAACAACAGTATCACATCATGGACATTCATTCAGGTTAGGTCTTTTAAAAAAAAAAAAAGGCAGACAAAAAGATGTTAACGTCAGGCTATTTTCTGCACAGACTAGAGAATTCTATCACTGTTAGAACATGCTCAAATTCTCATGCAACAGCTAGAGATGGAATACTTTTCAATAACCTACAATAATACAAAACAAGTGAGAACTCTCATTTTAGAGCATTCACCTTTCTCTAGGTGGTGTCAGCCTTTACATAATTTTAGTCGTCTTTTAAACAAATCAGAGCAATCATAAGTGTTTATTTAGAAGTGTAAATATAATTTCACTAGGTTTCAGTAAAACCTGCTAAGAGTGGAAAATGTCACATGATTTGAATGCAAAAACTGCTGACTGCATGCTGTTAAGAAAGGACAAGTGATATTTCAAAGCTTCCATTGGCAAAGTTGTTTGTTGCTTGGAAATAAACAACTTCAAGTTGTTAATAGATGTATGCTTAAGCAAACAATTAGAGACTAAAATCAATATTAACAGGAACTGCTTATGAGCCACCATAATCACCCAGGAATAGGAGGGTCCATAAAATATTTTTATATGGAGCAGGATTGCTACCAATGTGATAGTATTCAGAGATATCATTATATCAGTATCATATGTCTATAATTTCTAAAAATATTAATTATAATTTTAAAATCAAAAGCATTACATCCAAAATGGGGAAAATTCTAAAGTAGATTTTGTCAGCACAAAGTTGAAGATATCAGAAGTAAAAATTACTGATTTAAGTTCAAAAATAACAAAAATTAAGAAATGACAGCTTCATTATGTTTATTATGTGTTATAAAGATACAACAGATTTTTTTTAAGGGCCACTTCTAGCATCAGATTTTACACTCATCCAAACCAGAGACAGGAATTAAACAGAAAACAGAAATGTTAATTGGGATCTGCTTAAGCACATTTTACTATGTGTGCATAAACCTATTACTCCATGCAAAGACAAATGTCTGCATGGAGCAGCAATTAAAGATATACACACAAAATTCAGCCTGCTGAGAGCTGAATAAATTGAAAGAAAACATTTGTAAAAAATAAAAAAGCGAAAGAGAGGTAAATCCAGGGTCAGCTTTTTGGATAACACAGAACAGAGTATATCTTTAAACATTTCTTTAAAAGAATGTTGTAACAGTGCTGGTCATTTAGCAGATATTAATAAAAATAACAAAGGTCACCAGCAAACAACTGAAATTTTTATTCTGTATTAGTGAGAAGGCTGAAGCATCTCTTTAATACCACATGTTGCTAAGGAAACACCTTCCACACAATCAGTAACTGAGATGTTTTAAAAATCATTTATATCTGAGTAACATGCCTCCAAAATGCACAAGAAAGCTGACTGTTGAGAACACTGCAGTTAAATTAACATTGCTTTCCCTTTTGGAAATGTTGGAACTTTTAAACAAGAAAGTAAATAACTCGTGTTTTTAATGGCACTAGATTAGCAAACAGTTAACATAGATTAATATGATATGAAATTAATCACATAATCTCCAAAGACCTACCTTTTTTCAGGTCAATCTTTATTTTCTTTGCATTTTTTTTATTGCCAAAGCCCATAAGGGGAGACAGGGAGGGAGAAGACAACTTTCTACCCAGGCGTGGGAGGTTGGGGCTCTTTGCTTGTTGTGCTGCCTGTATACCTGTCTCTGAGCTGCTTGCTTCAGAAAGATTAATCATTTTCAGAGCAGGTTTTGGATGAACAGGAGGTGGAATCTTAGTTTTTGGAACTACTTCTTCATTATCCAGAAAACAAAGGGGAGCGATAGCAGACTTCTCGTATTGTTCTCGATTATACGGAGGAAGGACTTCCAACATGACACTTTGAAATTTCATTGCCTGACGGAAGATTTCTTGAGCCCTTTAAAAGAAAGGTATGAACACTCACATAGCAAACCAGAAAAAGTATACAAAGTTTGAAGTTATTAATAGAGAATAAGACAAAATATTGTCTTAAACGTGAAGAACATTCATTACCTTCACATCTACAAGGTCCCTTTTCTAAAATGTACACATGAAATAAGATTTCTAAACTCCAGCAATCCTAAAGCACATCTGTAAGGATTCCTAGCCTTCTGAGAAATCACATCAGACAGCATAAACCAGTGAACACAATTCTTCATGTGGAGCATCAGGAAGAGAAGTTTGATGGCAAAAGTTCATCAAAAGACTCCTGAAGTTACAGCTTACTACTTTTTAAAGTGTTTGTCTGTTACATATTTTCTTATAGGCATAGAGGCACACTGAGTACTTACGAGCAATTGCTCTGGTGCATATATCTACCCTGAGCAAGCTCAGGACTCTTTTTACTCCAAGTACAGCCTAACTGCCTCTCAGATTTCTTCATCATCCCTAATGCAACTGTTGGCTGATTCCACAGCAATATAAAAGAATGAGGGTATGGGATAAATCCACACCAGAAAAAACAAACAACAAACAAACTTGTGACTACAAATTTGCAACTATTTCCATGTTCCTACATACATGGATAAATAAAATAGGTAGTTATTACAACTTTCAAGTAGTAACCTCTTGCTAAGGTGGATATGTGGACTTTATTTAATGAATGCTTTTATAAATGTGCTTGAAACTTGTTAAGAACATCTAATGAAACCATTCCCCTTGAACTGATAACATGTTAAAAATACAGTGTTAGGGTTCCCATGCATTGCAAAGCAATAAAGATAAGCTGGCCAAAGCAACTGCTCATAAAGCCTTTCCTGCATTTTGAATGATCTGTAGATTTGGTCAATCAAGACATTTGATGAACCTTGGATTCTAAAGAAACAACGGAGGCTTCTTCCTTTATATACTTTCCTCTCCTACATTTTGATGAAGTGGTCTGATTTTCATCCATACTGCAGAAGAAAACTCAAGTACAAGTAGAAATAGTAGTTGAAGCACATTTTGAGAATGAAAAAAATAAAGCATTTCTGCTTAGCAGAATCTGGTTAAGAGGGGAAGTAACGGCTATATTAACTTTTAAATAAATCATGGGGGCCTTTTTGAGAACCATCTACATATGTCTTACCTTTCTGTAGTTTATCAGTCAGACAAAGTCAGTATTTCACTGAAGTTTTGGATTTGGACTTAGTCTCTCAAGATTCAATGTTCAAAATACTTTGGAAATAAACATTTTTTTACACTGATACTGAAAGGAAGTCACCACAAATGTTAACATCTTGAATACACACCTAGTGTTTTCCAAGATCAACAGAGCTGCACAAAACCTCCACCTTGCAGCTGTAGGTAGTGAAAGGGAAGAGCTGTTTCAAGGCGTGCTTTTTGCAGCATGAAGACACTGAAGTCAGGCCGCAGTCCCAATGGACACTGCTGTGGGAAAGAACCATCTTGGCTACACTAAGTGCGTGTGCACCAAGAGTCAGAATAACTACATTCATTGACAGAGGACACAGCCAGAAGAGAAACCTCAAACTTAGAAAAGAAACGTAGCATGGAAAGTGTTGTAGGAAGGTATTCTTCCAGCACAACCCTCAAGGGTCAGGTTTCAGAGCTGTAACCGCACTGTTCCAGTGCATACGCTGAGGTTATATGTTGCCTCCTCACCTACAGCCTGTAAAGGCTTTCACGGACAGACCTTACCCTGATCATAGAAATTATGTCATGCTCCTAGCATAAGGATGTAAAGTCTTAACTGGGTTTCTTGCATATCCCACCTTCGTCCTTGTAAGAAGCCACTTGGCCATATGTTTCAAGGTGATTTAGTAAAGCAGTTTTAGGAGATGAATATTTTAAATATATGGAAGAGAGAATGTAAGATCTTCAAACAGAAAACAGTGGAAATAATATAAGACATCCTGTGGGAATGCCTAAGTGCAATCTTCAGGGGAAAAATAACTGGCTGCACTTCAAAGAGAGAAAAAAAAATGGATGGAGAAATTTACATTTTTTGAGATCCCAAATGCATACTTTAAAGAAATAAGGGAGTCAATTAAAAGAGGTGCTAGAAACTCTGCAACACAACAGAATGTAATTGAATATATTAATAGAAAATGCAAAAGCAGACCAACCTCCTCAAAATATAAAACTATTATAAACATGGGAATACAGAAAGTAGGCTGCTGCTAATACAGCTGCAGAAGCTGCAAGCAGGAGCAATACCAAAAAGTCTCTGCTGAAAACAGAGAGAGACAGCATGTAACAGTCTCTGCTAAGTGTTAAAACAGCTTTTACAAGGGTTATGAAGAAATGTCAATACAAAACTAGCAGACAGATTTTGCTCCTAAAGGAGAATCTGATTACTGTTTCTGGGTCAATAGTCATTGTGACAATGCCTCGTCACATCTATTACATTTACTGCATTTCTGTAACTTGAACTTCTGTCAGGGTAGTACAGTTATGTCATGCCAGATGAAAACCAAAAAGGCATATTCACCAAGATGAGTTTCAACTGGGAAAGCTGCTTTCTTTAGCCATTCTTAACAGCCAGGGAAGAGGAAGGATTCAGAAGGCTATGCTGAGAGGCATTTCAGCAGAACAACGTAGCACGACATGGGACTAGGCTAGAGCTTGTCCAAAATACTTGCCCTAGTCCCAGGGTATTTAATCCTCTTTGCCCACAGTTTTTCTCCTCAGATCCTATGCCATTGCAACCACATGACTTGTCTTTGTTAAATAAAGTGACGTAAATCAATTAGGCTCTGCTCTGTATCACTTTTTAGTCTCCTCTCTTTCACTCTCCCAATGACAGAGAGATCATCTAACAAGACTGGCCTCTCCAAACTAACCTCTGCCTTTGTAAATATCCTTTCCAACTCCCCAAACTACAGAAAATTGGAGAAGGAAAGTGTGTGGACTTTTCCACTCCACATACATCCACAGGCTTAAAGCCTCTGGAGATCTAGTTACATTCTGAAGAGAAGACAAAGCAGATAATAAATTCATGAAGAAAAGATCTCACACAGTATTGAAAAGAGAAATTTTGATCCAGGCAAAATCTCATTTGTAAAGGGTGTATCTTCATTACAAAACTGCAGAGGTAAGACAGCATACATTTTAATACAATACCAACATTTATGTTCTAATAAAGTTATCTTGCATAGGAACTTTACATGGGTGAAAGAGAATGCATGTACTGTATCACAGCAGAATACATTTACCACCAAACATGTAGAAAACAGTAACTCAAAAAGCTACCAGATGGTAAAACGCACAGTTTCAAAAGCAAGGTAATGCCTACACTACAGAACTATGCTGGTTTTATGAAAACCTATTTTGCAAATATTTATGCTGAACAGTGAAATGATTTATTTTAGCTTAGAAATCTTGGCTTACTGTCCAGAAAGTTCAGTCTCAACTCCCTTGAAATCTCAAAAGGTTTTGTTATATTATAAACAATCACTCAGCTGTCTAAACGTTTGGATTAAAAGTAAAAATGAATTACTATTTAATTACTACATTAAATATCTGCAAAGTTTGAGAGGCTATTCTTTTGTGCAATGTCACATTAATCTACAGCCAATCAAAGCAACATATTACTTAATTTGAGATAGATTATAAATGTCGACAGACTTCATAAAAGTCACAAGGTAAGAGTTACCATTTAGCTCAACTAATCATTTTGACAGTACTAGTATTTTTAAAAAGACAAGTGCTCAAAAAGCTGCAGGAAGAAAAAATTAATAATCTTATTTCATTTGCAAAAGAACATTAAAAACCATTCTGAAATGTTGACTCATTCTGAAGGTCTGAATTATAAAGAAAATTTAGAAAAAATAACAGAAGAATTACACAGTGAAGACCACTATTAAAAAACTTGATGTTATTAAATTAAATAAGCACAATATGTTTACTGAGACTAGAAAAAAATTCCTCTTCTCAAATTTCACCTTATTTGGAGATTTCAGAAATAAAATTAAGACACTTTTGCCAACTACCAATTTTACAGGCTTTTTATCTGAAATCAATATTAACCCCTTTGCATGAATCACTTCATAAACATAGTATTCCATAAAATCCTGGCTAGTTAAAAGTATCAGTAAAAAAGCACTTACTGTGCAAAGGTCTTATCTGTAAGGTTTACATGGTTAATCTTCACAATGCATTCATTTTCATGGAAAAGCCCATCACGTCTAGATCTGCTGTTTTCTTCAATACCACGAATGAAGAGCCCCAGCATCCTAAAAGCAAAACAAAAAAGTAACAACTACCCTTCTTCTGCTGGTATGAGTTTATAGCAACTAAAAATAGATACTAATTTCTACTGTGTATGAGAACAGAGAGTACATTATTATGAAGTGCTTAACCTAAAGAAAGAATTTTCAGTTCACTCTTTACTAAAACAGAGGACAAGGAACACCAAGAAAGATTGCTGGACACTAATACTATTTGCTAGAACTTCTGGAAGTAAGTCCTGAAGGTCATACTTGGAGAAATAGAGGAAAACACCAAACTTGCATGTAGCTTGTCTGCCGTTAAGTAAGGTTACATTGCTCTAAAGAAAAGCACGAAGAGACTAAAAGTCATTTTCTAACTCAACTGTAATAAACTAAATGGGTATTAGAATAAGATAAAATAACCACTGTTAGTACATTGGAAAAATCAGATGCCAAAGGCCCTTATTTTGATACATGATAGCAATACTACTTATTTATGTGGCAGGAAAACAGCAGAACATCAAAACCCAAGTTGCTTGTTACCAGGTTAAGTGCAAATTGAAAACTGAGATGCAGCACAGAAACTGCCAATAATGCATTAAGTGAAGAAGGACTAGTGGTGAAAAGTTCCACTGTGGCTACCTCTGCTGGGAACACCAGGTGATTTCTGACCTACCTGTAGCATCTCTGTAGTGCAGATTACAACTCAACATAGATACTTACAATGAAACCAGTATAATGTCCAAAAAACCCTGACAATTGCATGTTTGTGAAGACCATTTATAATCTAGTCTTATCCACGAAAATTCCATACCACATCACCAAAGACAGGTGACCTTTAGAGACCATTTCTATTGGTTATAGTCCACAAAATATTAATGTGCAATTTCTAACCTGCCAGCACTCCAATCACAAAACAGAGGTCTTGCATTTTCTCTCAGATTCATGACTGTCTATGGTATTTAAGTCCACTCAACAGATTTACTGCACACCATTAGCTATTTCAAATGACACTGTTCTCCATGTGTCTGATTCAGTCAGTTGCTCACTAATCCTATTGTGCTCAGAAGCTACACCCATATAAAGCAATAGGATTGCCCTCTTGTCTGAAACTCATGTGTGCTGTAGTACCTCCATGAGTGGCTTGAGTTGTTTATGCTGTGGCAGCTTAAATTCAATGCTCCATTACTTTTTTCCTGCCACCTCCACGTTAGCACTGCTATTAAATTTTAATTTACTTTTAAAATTATATTTAAAATATATTCAAGTGTAAACCAAAACAATTTGCACTGGTTTTATAGTTTCTGTATTAACTGAGATTTTGTAAATTAATAGAATATTTTAACTACTTCAAGGAAAATCTTGCTCTGCAGCAGAGCTAGGCTAATGCCAGCATTACCTTATTAGAAAATAACTTTAAAACTGAAATACCAGACCAAGTTAGACATGGTGAATGTGGGCTCATAATTCTATCTTCTCATGAACCAAAATAAAAGGTATTCTTCTTCACTTTCTCATTTGATGATAAGTAAAAATTTATACACTAGTGCAGGCTTGATTAAATAAGACAGACAAGTGATTTAAGTCACTCTAGTGCTTTTACAAGGATGCCAGTATGGTTCTGCCGAGGGTCATTAAAATTTTGAGAGCACTGTCTAAACAAGTAGTCCATCTGTCAAAAATCCATTTGCTTCAAGGGATTCCCAAAACCTTTTGTAAATAGGGACATATTAACATGCACGCAATATAGACTAAAGAACTCCACTTCTCCTTCACGAAGGTCTTTAGAAGCTGTACCCAACATACTAATACTTCAGTACAGAACTGTATTATGGTCTCAATAATTACTGATTTTAATATCTTGTCATTTAATGACATTTTTAACGTAATGATCTTTTAACGTAATGATCGTGATTCAGTACACAGCACAACGTTTATGGCATGACTATAACAAAGTCTGCATTTCATGATGGGGTAACAAAGAGAAGAAAAACAGACAGCCTGCAAAATCAAGGACACAACTTGGATCTTCTACAGTTCCCATTGAAGACTCAGCTTTCTTCTTGAGACAGTGATGATATTTTTACAGGCAGCAGGTGGACATCTATTTTCCATTTTGGCAAATAAAACATGCTAAATGGATCTGGGTCCACTTACAAACTCAAATTTTGCTGAGAAAACATTTACACAGACCTTTACAGGGCAATTTAATCCTTCACATTCCCTGTTCTACATGAAAGTTGACAAGTAAAGAAACATTTAAGAATTAGACAATTTTTACTTTTGCAATAATGGTCTTTGTGTTACAGGCAGTCATTTTTCTATGAAGTAGTGTCATTTATGGCATTGGCAATTTCCCATCTCTTATTCAGGGCTGCCAGTATCAAATTAACTCTCTGGCTAAGCCTCTCTATGTCAAATTTCAGCCTAGAATGTATTTATTTCTTTATTTTTACTTCTAAGTTTCATAGCTTAGTTCTAATGAAAATGCTGACACAGTCTTAACTACAGTACATCAATATGAGCATGCTGTTATAATAGGTTTTGTGATCTCAAGAGACAATGTTAAATCATTTGTAATTAAAGTAATCGTATTGTGAAAAAGGGAAGTTGGTGGCATAGTGCACATCTCAGAAAAGCTATACAACCAAATCTGAAAGGTGGTGTGAAAAATGAGGCATGACTAGGCAAGCAAATTTTTTTACTTTTCTCATCTGGTAAGTCACAAATGAAAGGGCTTATACAGGGAAAGATGGCTGGAAAAAAACAAGAAATACAAACTAAAAAAATCACCCACACAACCAAAACTGAACGCCACACACATAAAACCAACTCAACACCATAAAAGGCAAACAACCCCCACAGCTTTAGTATTACATTATTCTACAGAGAGTCTCATTTACATTCAGAGAATACAAACAGAAAAAATAAAAATGATACATAGAAGAAAGGGATGGTATTGTCTTACATGTATCAGATATTTTGGTAATGGAAAACAGTTTTCTTTTAAGCATTTCTTTTCATTGTGATTAAATAGTAGGTATTTTAAGGGGACCACAAAGGAAATCATTCCACCACTATACTTCTTGAGCAATGCAGAAGATATCTTACCTTCCACTCAAAGATGAAAAAAAGGGCACTACATGTATTCCCAATGGTCCACCTTCCCCAGAAATCTCCACTGTTTTTGTCATTTCACTAAAAAAAGAGCACAGGGAAAAACATCTCACAGAACCATCTACGTTAAGAACAAATTCCTTATTGATCAGATGGCAGAAAGGATAGATAAAATATTCAAATCAGAGATCTCTAATAGATAAAAATATGTAAAATGGCTATAAAATCCTTTTTTTTTTTAGTTAGTATTTGTGTCCTTTGAAAGGGAAATACAACATGTATTGAACATTTTCAAGTAAACTCTTAAGTAAATTAAGTCAAGAATAAGCTTTGAAGTAAGGAGACGCTTCATCATAGAAAACCAAAATAACAATAAAATAAAATCCAGAGTTTCCTAAATATTTTAAATTTAAGTACCATGTGAACTGCTTCAGTCCATTTCCCCACATGGACGCTTGATAAATATGAAGATCACAGAGTAAGCACATCAAGTGAGTAAGTAAATTGGTCAAATCACATTTAAATATCTTTATTTCTGTCCTCAATTGTATACAACCTTACTGTCAAACAAAGAACTAAACAAATTGTAATAAAAAATCCAAGTCAGCTCATTTTATCAGGCAGTTTCCTTCCCCAAACACCATTATCAAACCCCTCTATATTATGTCTGACAGAATTTTGCTGTTTCATGGTTATGTGATGTTTCATTTCCTTTGAGTATTTTACACTGCCAGCCTTACAGTGACCTTCACTTTATTCTTGGTGATCATAATTTGAAAAGGAAGGTACTTGAATTGCCTAGAATGTTTACCAAAAACATAAAAAAATTAGCAAGGTCTGTATTCCAGCAGATCACTATCCTTTTTTTCTTTACTAGTCTAGATTTTTTGTGACACCTCCTCCCCTCAAACCATACAGAACACCATCAACACCCAGGATTAGTGGATAACTACTGGGTATCTCAATTTACATTGTAACATCCTAACGGAGTCAAACTACAAGAAGTTCTATGTTCGCACACCAATCCTGTAGCATCACAGAAGATGTAAAGCTGAACCAATTGGCTGCTGCTCTCTGTACTGCCTGAGTTAAAGACTCAGCCCAACTAATGTCAAGGGGAGGCTGCTGTTGCGAAAAAGGCTTCTGACCATTCTCCAAAAACCATGCAACAGATCTAGAGTGCAAATTTGCCATGTAAGAAAGATGATCAAGCGGACTCTTCTGCACTATCCCACCATACCCCCAAAAATGATTCTTTCCTTTCAGCTGACTGATCCCACTGACCCACTGTCTCACAATAATTTTATTTGATGCAAGAATCGACAGAAAAGTGCAGATGTAAGAGAAGAATCTGTGACCACTCTGAAGTGTCAGTGCACAGTTACACGAGACCAGATACAACATAAAAACACAGGGCACAGCTAAGCCTCTCACAAGGAGGGACAATTACTGCAAATAATCTTAGACAATTTCTGGTATTGTTTTCTAGTAAGACAGATTTTTATTTTTATTTTGTTACAAAGCTTCATCCAAATGCATAATGACTACTCAGAAGCAACTTGCCCTAGATACAATAATTCTTAGCTTGGTCAGCTAAAAGTGGAATAAGACCAGACAATAAGTTTATAACATTTTCTTTAGGTTTTGGAGTTTGGGAGGGTGGTTGGGGTTTGATTGTTGGGAAATTTTGGGGCAGAGATTTTTTTTTATATTATTCTTCCAAAAAATGCTAGCACTTGGATTAATTTACATTCCATAAAAATGAAATGGACAGACCCTGAACAACAAACAACCACTGACCCAAACATAACATATTTCTTGTTACTATATATAATATGGGTAAGATTAATAGGCACTTCTTTTCACTGATTTTTTGTTTCCTGCATTCCCATCTCTTCATGGATCAAACAGGGAAATCCTGACAAAATCTTCCTGTATGTTTTTTTAGAATTTTTTTTTTTTTTTTTTCCTAGTGAAACTGCTCAGAAAAGCTAATCAGGGTGGTTAGCAAAAACTCAAATATGCATGCATAGGAAATTAACTCTTCTTTGAATTCCATTTTCTACTTCCTCCAATTCTCTTAACAGACATAAAAAATAATTTAAGGGCTGCCTTTACTGTCTTTTGAACTTCTACGGAACCAAAACATGCAAGCAAATTAAGTAGCCTACAAATCTACAGATCCAGAAAATAATAAAAAGCAGTGAATGGGCTTTCATTTCCATGAGGAGAATTTAAATAAATCACATTTGTCCCCAGATAACCCAGTGTTGCTCAAGGAATCAACAGAAGAGATGCCTTCCTAAGCAGCTGTAAAACAGAGCAGGAATTTTTTGATGGCTAGCACAATAGACAGGTCAGCTGTCATATTAAATCAATGCACTTACTGTAATACGTAGGCTGAAAGCCAAAGAAAGCACACACATTTATTTTTAAATCTCACAAGAAATCTACACACTAAGAAAATCAGGTTTCTTTGTGAAAACAAATAGCTCATATGAACATTGTGTAATACTTCTAAAACATTGTGGCATATCCTAAAAGTACTGTATGTACTGAAGCACTAAAGCAATGGTGTCGGGGCCGGTTCTGTTTAACATTTTTATCAATGATGTGGATGAGGGGATTCAGTGCACCACCCTCAGCAAGTCTGCAGATGACATTAAATTTGTCGGGAGTATTGATCTGCTTGAGGGTAGGAAGGGTCTGCAGAGGGACCTGGACAGGTTAGATCAATGGGCTGGAGTCAACGGGATGAGGTTTAAGAAGACCAAGTGCTGAGTCCTGCAGTTTGGTCATGATAATCCAAAGCAACACTACAGGCTTGGGAAAGAGAGGCTGGGGAGGAGCGTGAGCAGCCCAGTGGAAAAGGATCTGGGAGTACTGATAGATGGCTGGCTGAACATGAGCCAGCAGTGTGCCCAGGGGGCTAAGAAGGCCAACAGCATCCTGGGCTGTATCAAAAACAGTGTGTCCAGCAGGAGTAGGGAAGTGACTGTGTTCAATTCTGGGTGTCACAGTATAAGAAAGACATTGCAGTCCTGGAGCACGTCCAGAGAAGAGTGATGAGGCTGGTGAGAAGTTTGGAGGGCATGTTGTACGAGGAGAGGGTGAGGGATGTGGGGTTGCTTTGTCTGAAGGAGAGAAGGCTCAGGGGAGATCTTATTGCTCTCTACAATTACCTGATGGGAGGTTGTAGAGAGGTTGGTGTTGGTCTCTTCTCCCAAGTAACTAGCAATAGGATGAGAGGGAATGGGTTTAACTTGTGCAAGGGGAGGTGCAGGCTGGATATAAGGAAAAATGTCTTTACTGAAAGAGTGATGAGGTATTGGAATGGGCTGCTCAGGGAGGTGGTGGAGTTGCCATCCTTGAAGGTGTTCTAGAAGTGTTTAGATGTGGTGCTTCAGCATATAGTTTAGTGGTTGTGGTAGTTGGATTACGGTTTGACTCAATGATGCTCTATATACATAAAAAAGGTACTTTAGAATATTTTTTTTTCAGTCACAAATTATTCAGAATGACTTTTTTCATTCTCAAACAAATGTGATTCTAAGTTACATTTGAAATTAAAATTGCCCTTCACAATACCAGATCTTTAAGGATACATTATTTTTATGTTGTACCTGTGAAAATCTGGAAGTTAAAAAGTTAAAAAAGAGGATATCTAAGATGTGGCTTTTTTTTTTTTGTTTGTTTGTTTGTTTTTTGTTCAAGAACCTCGAAGATCAGAGACTCTGAAAAATTTTACATCATTCACTCATGCTGTTACAGTTTACACTATCCTGGAATAAGTATTCAGGACCAGGGCATGACTGAACGAAATCCTGAACAGGATAAGCTTTAAGAACACTAATTACTAAACTCCACAGGTGCAAGGGACTCTCCAAGGTGCTGGGACTCTTCAGTTTGATAGTCAACTTAAAAATGCAGAATGGCTTTCCACTGCTGGTTGATAGCTGCGACATTGACAACAGAGAGAGTAATCTGTGAATTTTCTGTAATATTCAATGCATTTAAAATACAAATTGCCAAAATTTTACACTCCAATAGTTAATAACCTGCTAATTACCTACTCCTATTTCAAATCTCCCATAGACGTCTTAAACGTATTTTGCACTAAAGTTAAAAAAAAAACCAAACAAAACAAGTTTGGCCCATCAAGTCAGTAGAAAAGACCTGGAGTCCCATTGCTAGCTAGGAATGAGAGGCTGGGAGCACTGGTTAGTGATGCACAGAAGGTGTCTCAGTGTGCCACACGGCTAGTATCTCCTGTGTGTTCCTCAAGGAGCAAACAGAGCTCCTACCTCAGAAAATACTGTCCTTGCTGAATTTGCAACCTAATTTCTACAGAATACATATGGATACACTCTTACAGCAAACAAAACAAGTAACCTTTTAAAAAGCATTTATCTCAGTGAAACTTCTCAGAACTGCAGGGTTCACCCCAACTAGAAACATTGCACCAGGCCTTCTTCAAATGCATGATGGCATCTCCTTTCCCCTCACTGCATTCAAAGGTGCCTCAGAGGTTACAGTGAAGAGAGAACACCTGCCTAACATGACCTGATTGTGGCTTCCAAGACCACGGTTAACATTGTACTATTGATTTTTAACCTGAAGAAGTTGTCATCATTTACTATTTAAATTCATCATTGCTTGATGTTTATTGATTTCTGCCAGGTTCTTTCCAGTCTGTCACCTTTGTCAGAAAGGCTTGCCATGCATATTATTAAAAATGTTGATAAATACAATTCAGCAAAGAGAGAGGTAGAGAAGATGTACACATGCATGTAGTGAGCTGCCTGATCAGTAGACCATTTCTAACATGGAAAGCAGAGCATATTCAGTGGTGGTTCAGTTTGATCTTCAGATTGGCAGTGTCCTTGCTGTTGAATACTATAGCTTCCTTTCCTGAAAACTGTATCAAGAATTAGCAGATTGTTAGTTTTGCAACAGGAAAAGTTTTGTTGCTGAAAGCTCCTCTGCAATAATGCTGAAGAACCCATCTCAACCACTGAGCGCATATAGGCTTATAAGGGATTTCTCTCCAGAAAGAAACCATTTTTTAATAGGACCTAAGG